CATCTGAGGTTGTATTTACCTACTTTTGAGAACTGCTAAGGACCAGATGATTTTTATGTCCTGATACGTAAAACCATAGAACTCAAAGAGGACGTACTTTCTCTTCACACAATTGTATGTTTGGTGCAGTGGTTAAGGTGTAGAAACCAGGAGGTGGTGAGTTCTAGGCCTGCCTTGCGCACAAAAGCAACTGGGTGACCTTGGGGCAGTCACTTTTCTCACTCCTAAGGAGAACGAACTGCCAAGTTACTTCTGAAAAATGCTGCCAAGAGAAGCGCAGGGATAGTGCAAGTGCCAAGAAAAGCCAAGAGTTCAAAAGTCTTGGAGGAATAACTTTCAAGCATGTATGTGACATCCTATTATACTTTATATTGTCTACATACTTTAACTAAGAAATATGTAAATATTTTAGCATGTCACTATTACAGGTATTTGCAATTTACGCATATTCTTGTATTGTGGTGCAGAAATTTCTACTTCGTTTGGTGAACATTTTTTTTTTCAACATACGGGGTGTCAGAAATAAGAGGGAGCAATGCAGGGAGGTGATTAAGTGGGAGTAGGAGGTGTGGAGGTGGTCTGCGTGATAATATGGCAATAGGCTCCAAGGAAGCTCAAAGTGGAATATGTGTATGTGTGTGCATGTGTATTGTATACACACAAATATAAATACACAAAAATATTGAAAACAAATTGTTAAATTTGTAATGTTTTTAATGTTTTAGTTGTATCTAGTTCCTATCTGATTGTTGTGTTGATGCATTAAAAAAAAATAAAAAATGTGTGGTTTTCAAAGTCAACATGTGGCCCACAGGGATCCTTATGTATTGTTTAGTGGCCCCCATTTCTATTTGAATTTGACACCACTGTTCTACAGAACTGAAGAAATTCTGTCCACCTTTTTAATCAATCAGGTGATCAGCCTCAACATCTGGTATGCAGAAAATAAGACCCCCTACTCATGGCAAATTCTCAGCAGAAACAATAGTTGGAAAATTACATTTTTTACAGCATTCCCAGTTAATGGATGGAAATGTAGTTACTTCCCTCTTTCTCCCAGCCACTCTGCTTAAGATCACTGGAAAGGAGATGAATGTAGTATGGATATACATTTGTGTCAATCTACATGGGAAAAAAATTTACACTAATATATTCAATATTCTGAGAACCTCCAGATTTTGTTGGTTTCTAATTCTATTTAGTCCCAGCCACGTAGCCCATGATCACTAAATAAAATTTGCTTCTTCTAGCCTGACAGTTCCTGTTTTCTATACCACAGAAGTCTTTATATTAACCTGTTACCATGGGACTCATACTCAAAGAATGGAGCAACTGCATGCTGCACAAGATTCTGGACAGTGATTCAAGACTTTGTACAGATAAGGAGAGCTTCTCTGACCTCATTATACTGGACATGACAGGAAACTTTATCTAACAATCACATACTGCAGGGGATAATAGTGCCAAATGAGTCATTTTCAATACCAATACCTCTGAGGAGCACTTGACAAGCCTGAATTTTCTGAATAGCACATGAAAACCATAATACTACATATAATTAGTTGTATGGATTTAAGGATATTGATTTGATATATTTAACTATTTAATAAATATTGCTTAATGCTTGTGATTTTGTAAAGATACTAATTTTGAATCTCAGTTTACAATCTTTACAAAAACATTTGAAATAAGTAATTATCAATTATTTTCAGCTTCCACCTATATAATCCAATGCCTAATATTGTTTTTCAGTATGACAGCAAATCAAGAAAGGGCTGGTAGGAATAACTTCATGTTTAATTTGGCTTTGAGAAATTAAACTTCCAGGAAAGCCTCATAATTATTTCTGTATGTTTAGGAAGTACTTCTCTACCTCATCACGAGTTGGCTGACCTGGCAATGCAAAGATTCAATCAAAACAAATCTTTGTAGCAAAAAGTGATAAGTAGTTTTACCCTGTTTTTGATTTGACAAAGGGCTTTTGTGAATTCCTGAGAGTCCAGGAGGATGAACACAGCCAACTGATGAAGTTGGTGAGGTCACAGTGACTGTGGATACAGTTGTGGGAAGGGATGTAGAAACTGGAGCTGAAGACTTAGCAAAAGCCATGGTTGTAACTGGCTTTGTTGTTTCAACAGCAGCTGTAGTTGAGGATGTATTCATTTCTTGTTTTCCAACAGTATTTGTTAAAGCAATGTCAGAAGGATAGGTAGCACTGTTATTCTGTAAAGGGCTAGGAATAGTTACAGGAAGTGATGCCACAGAAATTGTAGCAGCTGTAGTAACAACTGCAGTTGAACCAGCAGAAAGTGGGACAGATTTGGTATTGAATTTCTGTGGTCCTGTCAGAGGTTGGGATGATCTAATTTCAGGAGCCTTCTTCTGCAGACCTCCAACTGTATTCACAACCAATTGAGAGGTCACACCATCCAGTAATGGCCGAGGAGCTGAAAAGAAAGATTTTCAAAGTCAATATATCAATAGTTTTTCTTTCATATTTTCTACAAATATGGCAGTAATCAATTCTAGGTTGCATTCTCCTAGTAAAGGAGGTCAAGTACAGAAGAAACTCTCATATCCTGCCCATGTCTTAAATGCTTCCCTTATGAATACACGTAAGGGCAGTATCTATAAAAATGATTAGGTCCAAGCAAAAGCTAATTTTAAATAGTTTAAATAAAATATTTAAAAGTTGGTATTTCACTGTTTGTTTATATGAAGTTAAAAGATTAATAAATAATAATGACAAAATCTGGAAAAAAATCACAGAAAAATTAGGGGAAAAACATTTTTTCTGAAAAATTTAACAATGAATTATGAAGTACTTCCTAATATTTAGTTTTGAATAGCACACAATAATGTAAAAGAAATTGTTAAAAAAAATGAAACTCAGTTTTAACAGAGGCATGGATAGAAGGGGCTTCTTAGTCTCAATCTTCATTACATCAGAGTACATCATCTGTAGTGGAGTTATTGTGCGAATGATATCATTTGCATCATGATGTAAATTGATGTAAATACCAGAATTCTCTCTGTTGCATCCAAAGTCCTCAAAATTATGGTTTTAGTGTACACCAAATAATGAAATAAATGAACATGTAAAAGGATAGGAAAGCTTATCTCAATTCAGACAAACCTTCCATTTTCAGAAATCTATAAAATAAAAATAAAGTAGGATATGATGAAATAGAAATTTATGATAAGGACAGTAATTACAGTTCAGAAAATAATGATTAGATCAGGTCTCATGTGACAAAATGTGAATTGTGGGACTTTTTTTTTCCATCTACCAAGTTTTATATGTATTTTCCCTAAAAATCAGTACTTTCTGTATCTGTTCAGAATAATCCCAACTTTTGCAATACCTCACAACAGATGGTCCTGTTTTCAGTATTAACTTTTTGTCAAACTGTTGCTCCTAATTAAACAAAAGTGAAGAGATGCAACATCCCTTAGAGTTTAACTGGCTGCTTTACCATTTGTAGCAATAATTAAAGACATTTTAAAGTAAATTTAAGGAATCCATTTTTCAATTTTACCCATTAATCATACATTTAAGAGCAAATCAAGTTATAAAATTGTTTTGATAGTTTATAAAGCATATATCTGTACAAAATAATTAATATATTTCAAAATTTCCAAAATTCAAGAAAGAAAATATTTTTCCTTGTTGCTTCAAAATTACCAGAAATGTTTATATCTCTATTAATAGTGGATATTTTATATCAGGTGTTTATAAACTCTCAGTTCCAAGATGCTTTTGGACTCACAGTTCTATCAGAACTGTATCAGAATATCACTGGTAACAGAAAACATCCTGTATAAATGCTAACTCCTCTGTATTTTTCTGCATCCAAGTAACAAATAAAATCCAAGCGTTAGCCTTAAAAAGCCCACATCATAAACTATATAACTCACCAATAAGTATAAACAGTATATAAAAAAAGATACGAGAAAACCAGCATCAATGTAATGTATCAATTACCACCAGATATACACACTTATTGAAAGAATAAGGATTTAAAATGCCATCAGATTATTCATAAAAGTAGTTTTGGCAGCAGTAAATTCCATATGGGATGCTGCCAAAGGAAAACACCTCTTATACGGAGCCACCATCAATTATGCCTTGGAAAGAACTGGTGCACACAAGAGTACAAGATGGGCAGATTCAGATGGGAAGATAAAGTTCCTTGATTACAAGTTGTTTATAGGGCTTTAGAAGTAGTAATTAATAACCTGAATTACATCTAGAAACAAACTGATAAACAAAGCAGTTGAAAAAAGACTCACATGATCTAACAATTTGAACTCATCAAAATTCTGGCTTTAGTGTTCTGCTTTCAAATGATTTTCACAAACTGTGAGCTGAATAGTGGATCAAAACATGATTACAAATGGCACAGCTGGCACACCATTTTAAGCTGGGCAAGATCTTAACATCTGACAACCTAAGCATCTAATAGCAAGGTTGGGCATACGAATATTCGCAAGCTGAAAACAATACTCCAATGGAGAAATGTTCAATCCATTTTCAACAAACTTATTCCAGGAACCTGTAGAAAAAAGGCTTTCCATCAGATTTTCAGTAAGGACCATTTCCTCTATTTAAGAAAGTGCAAATTGTGCCATTGATTTAAATAAGACAGAAAAATCTTACCCTACTGAAAAACTAATTACATAGAAGCCAATCCTAATGCTCAGAAGCTTTAAAGGCCCTTGGTCAAGATTCCACCTTTCTCCAACTATTTTCCATCTTTCTTTTCCTTGCATAAAATAAAACTAGTTTGGTAGTAGCCTCAGTAAGTTCTGATGGGAGCTACTGTGTGCAAGTGACAACTTTGGAAACCACAGTACAATATGCTTATTATCACAAGCAAATATTATATTTAAATTGTCATGCTTTTAGTTTAATTTTGTCTTATTTAGCATTTAAACACATGTCATCTTCCTCCAAGGATGGTTTAGCAGCATATCAGAATCAACGGCACTATACAACATGATAGAATAAAATGCTCTTCATTTTCCATTCATCCATTCATTTCTTTTACAATACAAAAAAAATAAGAATCCAACCTACCTATCTGTCTCTGTGCTGAGACATGAGCAGTGGAGACTGATGTAGTATCACTGGAAAATGGAGTTTTAGATGTTTCTGATGTGGACCCTTCAGTTGACAGTGAATTAGAAGCAGCAAGTTTACTATTGGGTGCTATCTTGAAAATCACTGTTGAGAGATCAAGCACTGTTGGTTGTAGTCTACCTGTAAGATAAGCAGCTAGACGACTGGCTGGATGCAGCGCTCCCATCTGTCCCAAAAGAAGTTTGGCTTGAGGAGAATTTTTACCATTAACCTGAAATAAAAGAGGCAAAATGCTACACCCACTAGCATAGCATTGTTCAACAGAGTTCTAGGATATAGGTGCTGATTCGGTTACTTAATGCAATAGAACAGTGGTTTTTTAAAACAGCTGCAATCAATTCCACTGAACTGCTTCTAAAACTTGTTTCAATGTCATAAGCAATTTGCAGCGCAACATGAATTACTGCTGCTTGGAAACATATACTTAACCCATCTTATGTTTAAATAAGGTATTTCTCATGCTTCAGAGCCTGGTCATATGTTTTATTTTTTAAAAATTTCCATGAAAAAGACTTAATAAAATAAGACTAGAAATTAAACAATAAATATCAAAACTCTTTCCTTATTCAGAAATCTAGATATCTGATACTTACACAAAATCTTCTTCTGACTGGTAAATGAAGAATTTCCAAGCTAATTACTCACTCTTCCTGTTAGCTCAAGAGGCATGAATAAAGTCACAATTTTTGACTTGAGTGTTTAACACACTGCCTTCTACTTCAGCGACATGGCCAAGGTTAGGGCAAAATAGCTTAAAGTCAGCAGTCAACGTTAATAAGCAAGAAATTAGAAAGAAAACTCATCTGTTTATAAAGTTGCAAGAGTATCTGTGTAAAAAAGAACCAACTAATTTCAAGTAATCACAGAATTTAGAAGGACTCTTTTGTCTCTACAAATAAGATCAGGAAATCAGGTATGCTTTCTGTCCTTCTCCACTTAAGAATAACATTTACTAAAAAATATATTGCCGTGCTAAAATTCAAGAACATGGGGAGGGGGGAATCAGTATCTGTGTAAAAAAGAACCAACTAATTTCAAGTAATCACAGAATTTAGAAGGACTCTTTTGTCTCTACAAATAAGATCAGGAAATCAGGTATGCTTTCTGTCCTTCTCCACTTAAGAATAACATTTACTAAAAAATATATTGCCGTGCTAAAATTCAAGAACATGGGGAGGGGGGAATCCTATATCTTGAAAACCAAACTGTCCCAGAACAATCCCCTCCCAAAACCTACCTGAATCAAACCTGAGGGATTCAAGTCACATTTGCATGTGTTAGCAGTCAGCTTTCCTGCAGAAGGAAGTCCTGCATAAAAGGGTAAACCTTTCTTCCTCTGTTCCTGTAATATGTTGGGTGTTAACATCATTTTTTCCATCATTTTGCATGGTGACAATCCAGCATTAGGTGACACAACAGCTATAGGAGGGTTTTGGTTTTTGTTCTGGCATGGTGGTATGGAGATTTTCACTCGTGAGGAATAGATGGGTGTGTGCTTTTCATCCCAGGTTTTACTTTCAGATTCTAGCTCAATAAGGAAATGCCCTACTTTGAGCGATTTAGGCATCTTATTCTTGATATGCTGTGATAAGATATTCAGTATCTCATTACGATCCTCCTCCCAATTGCAATCAGAAATAATCTCAATTAGTTTGTTTTTGCCATCTGAAGTAATATGATGTACATAAGAAGTGGATGGATCCCCAGCACTACAGGAAAACCACCAGCTTTTCTCTAGAAAAGAATGGAAAAAGGTTTCTGCAATATTGCAACTTTTTATAAGCTTACAATTCAACCTGGACTTTTTACATTATTATTTTCATCAAAATGAAAAAAAAAATCACAAAGGAAAATGCAAAACCAAAACAGTAGATCTTAATAAATAGTATCATAAATTATTTTAAAAATATACCTATAATATTCAGCCATGTGGTAAACACATCTAGTTTTTATATTGCCTATATATTTTTTAACATCGAGATAATAAATCTTAGAAAATGTAAGTTATAAAACTAGATCAATCTATTAAAAATTGTAGTTTTTGCTAATCTAATTTTCTCTGACATTTTTATTACTCATATTGCTTGTATTTTATCGTATCAATATATATTATCAATCCTTTCACATTTTTCCAAAATTATATAATAACTTGTTTTACTGCCAATAATGGTATCCAGTTAAGATTTCATCTGGCAATTGTGAATTTTGCCCTTCAAAATTATTTAAGAATTGTAGGGTATTTTTGACTTGTTTCTGCAAATGCCATATTTCCTAACCCCACACCTGCTCCATCAGGGCAGCCCTTATGCTCAGCAGGTACTGAGGCTACAGACATTCACAAGCAGGCTGATGTTTTCCCTTCACCACACACATTTATATAAATCTTGCATTAAGTCAGCAGTTTAACCTATGTCATGTTCTATTATTTTAATTGGGAAATCTGGATAATGTATAAATGGGGTTAATGGAAACATACAACCATACTAACTGGGTCCAGCTATGCTTCCCATTTTAAATGCAAATATTATTGATCAATGTGTTTATTTTTCATATATGTATATATACATACATACACACATACACATTCAGGGTATTTTATATTTTTACATTTTTCATTAAAATTTAGAGTTTGCTGTTATTATTAACAAAATAATTGAAATGTATCACAGTACCAAACTAAATTTGGAATCATCTTCCTATCTGATTCAACTTATATTGCAAGTATTTTTAATTCTAGACTTATTTCTATTAAAAAGAAATAGGTTCAATGTCTTTTGCCACTGATCTAACATAAAATTAGATATAGTAAATAGGACTGCCTGAAATCAAATTGATTTTAGATAGTATACAGATAGTCCTTGGTTAATGACCATTCATTCAATGACTGTTCAAAGTTACAGTGGTGCTAAACGAATGGTTGTTATGCCCAGGCCCCAACGTTATGGCTGTTGGACTGCCCTTGTGGTCACATGATCAAAATTCAGGTGCTTGGCAGCCTGCCCGTACTTATGACAGCAGGGTTGCTTAAATTCCCCCCACCTGCCTACCTTCCCCCATCTCTGCCCTTTTAGCCATCCTGCTGCACAGCTAGCCCTGCCACCCCCAGCTGACCTTCACCATCTTCTTCCTCCTGCTGCTGGTGAGGTGTGCTCAGCCTGACCCTCCATGAGGCAACTGCCAGTCATGCCAGGCCTTCTTCCTGAGGATGCATACGGCCTTGTCCAAATTGCGTGCGGCCTTCTTGCGTGGCTTTGAAGCCTTCCAAAGCCTTGTAAGAAGGCCACATGCAATTTGGACAAGCCTGCACCTTGTCACCAATGGGAGGAAGAAGACGGCAAAAATCAGCTGGGGGCAGCAAGGCTGGCCATGAAGCACAGCAAATAGAGCACAGGGTGGCAGGGCTGGCTGTGCAGCAGGGCAAGCAAAGCACAAGATGGCCAGAAGGGTAGAGATGGGGGGAAAGATAGGTGGGTGGGGGGAGTTAAAGAGGAGGCAGTCCCTTACCTTACCAAGGCTTGGTGGCTGGGAGGGACCAAGCCGGGAATGGCTTGGATTGGATTGCCTCCTCGCCTAACAACTAGGGGGAGTTCAGTTAATGAGAGCAACTGGGACTGCTGTTGCTAAGCTATGCGGTCATGTGATGTCACGCTTTATGACCGCATTGCTTAGCAATGGAAATTCCTGTCCCAATTACTGTTGTTAACCAAGGACTACCTATACTCTATATGTATTTTAGATATGTAACTGTACTGTATCTGCTTAAAATACATGTTTGCTTCCCCCCTGCCCCAACTGGGATTGAAGTTGCACAAAATTTCTATAACCATCTTTTAGCACAAGTAACAGAAAACAGACTAAAACTATGTTGCAATACTTAGTTAGCAAAAATATTTAAAGACTAGATCATGAAAAATTTTAAAAGGATTGATATTTTCTTTTTTTTAATAATTTTATTAAGGATTTTAATTAAATACAATAAACAATTAATTACAATTAATTACAATACAATTAACAATTAATTACAATTTTCTAAAAGAAAGAATAGAAAGAATGAAAGGTGCAAAGGAGAAAATAACGTAGAAAATAGAAACAAAGTAAGAATATAGTGAAGAGAGAAAAGAAATATATAAAAAAGTGACTTCCAACCTTCATCACAAGTATAAACCATTTTTGTAACTCTTCACCCCTCTTAGTTTACAACCAATTATCTCTTCATCCCATATCCCATCTTGTATCTATAGACAAATCCATAAAGCATCATCTTTTCCATCCTAGTGTTAGCAGAAAGTTCATTAAGGGATACCAGAAATAACGACATATCTTATTTTAACCTTGATCAAATAAACCAACTTTACATTCCTTCCTTTTACTTCTAACAGTCTTAATCTTTAGTCCGTTCAAATAATGTTGTAGAATTGATTTTTCTTTTTTTCTTTGTCCCTTCTCATAAGATTCTTCAAAACTTTAACAAGCCTCTTCTGTAAATCCAATATGAAATATAAAGACAGAGATCACTTTCTTGGGTTTATTATCTGCATTTCCCTTTTGATTTTTAAAACATCAACCAGTTTCTTTTGTATGTCCAGTGAGACATCCTTTTCCATAACATTCTTGTAACCTGTCACTTGTAGATACATTTTCAATGCCATCTCTGTCTTGTCAAATAAAACTTGTTCCTCCTCTGCCATTTCGTCCATAACATCTTTTGGACACAGTCTATCCACAGAAACAAACATCGCTATTGACATCGTTGACATTAACTTCTGATTCCATTTTTCAAAAGTGTCCTTCGGTATTTTCAATGTTGAAATCTTTTGCGCCATTTTATATGTCTCAGTTAATTAGCTGTTAACCAGGCTTGTGTATTTTTCTCCGTTAATTAAAATCTTTAGTTTCCTCTAGTGTCCAATTTTTAAAAAATTGCTTATCTTTATTTTGTCTTGCAAAAGTCCAAATAAATCTATTTCCCACGGGGAGGATTCTTTATTAATTAATTCCAAAATCTTATTTCAAAATTTACCTGGACCCTTAATCCATTTATAACTTTCTGGGATCAAAGTCTTATTTAGCTTTTTGGTGTTTATTTCAATTTTTTAAAAAAATTCTTAAACTTATAATTAAAATTTTCTTTCATTAAGGATTGAAGAAAACTCACCCGGTGTTTTCAGACTTGTCAATCTGAAGGTCTCTAATAGCTTAAAAGTAGTTAACAAGCAATTTTTGAACATGATTAGAAAAGGAAGTTTGCAAACTTAGTGTTCTTTAAAAGGCACTGACTTCAGTTGCAAGCAAGATAGCTATTCCCGCTGTCTCCCAGTGCTCAAAACCCACTGGGGACCACTGTCTTGTGGTCTCCTCACAAGGAGCAACTGTTCAAAGCGCATGTGGATGATCTCCCATCCTCTCCTTGTCCAGAGAGGTTTCAAAGAGCTGGTCTGCTCATCATCTCTTTGTTCTTTCCCACGGTTGTTGGCTTGCAAAACTTCAGTTTTCCATTTATTCCTCCAGAAGTCAAAAGGATTTATATTTTTAATAATGCACAGATTATTTGACTTCTGGGTGAGGAATGGCGAGCTAACACATCTCCCAACTAGGAGAGATGATGTCGCAGCCATGACTAAAAGGAGCAGTGAGTAGATCAGTCCCATGGAACCTTTCTGGAAAAGGAGAGGACAGGAGATCACCCACTTCTGCTCTGGATAGCTGGTCCTCACAGTTTCCTATGGGTTTGAGCACCAGGAGACGAAGGGAAGTTGTCAAGCTCTCAACCGCAGCAAAGCCTTTTTAAGGACACTCAGGTCCCTAACCTCACTTTCTAATCACTTTTGGAAATTACCTATTTAACTATCTTAAGGCTAACAGAGATCTTCAAAATGACAAGTTTGCAAAGCCACCTGATAAGTTTACCTTCATTCCAGAATAAAAGAAAAATTAACAATAAACTTAAGAATTGTCAGGCCCAGTTCAGCAACAATGGTGAAACAGTCCAGTTGAGTAAAATTCTTTTATTTGCTTACACCCTATAGACAGAATCTTGCCAAACTAAATCTATCCTACAGCAACTAATGGATATACCCTGGGAGATTCTAGGGAGTGGCCACCCTGAATCTCTTACTCTTCCCAGGCTCCTTCTGCAGGCTGTATTGTCTTTTGTCTCCTTTCCCCTCCTGGAATGCACCCCCTCCCTCCTGATAGCCTTGATCTCCCACATCACTCTCTTCCTCGCAGATACATTCCATCACATGAATTTAAAGAATCTAAAATAAACAGCAAAAAGCTAAGTAAGATTTTAACTTAAGAAAGTTACAAATGAATTAAGGAACCCAACAAATTTGGAATATTAGGACTTCTGCTGTAAGATTTTGGAAATAACTATATAAATAAATAGTACCTTTGTGGGAACTAAACTATTTAGTCTGTCTTAAGTCATAACAGAAATTTGAGCCTTTATGATTTCAGAAACTGGACACTAGAGGGGGCTAAAGATTCCAGTAGAAAAGGAAAAAGGGGAAAAAAGAGAGAGAAAGGCTTGCCTTTTGTTTTTGGTCAGCATTGGGACAAAATGACAGAAAGTGGCATGACATGTGAAATACTACAGGAGTTCTTTGAAGAATGGGGTCAGAAAATAGCAGTTACAAGACTTCCGGTGGCTGGTATGGCAGTTTGATTGTCTTCAAATTGCAGAGACAGCTCCTCAGATGTTTTTTAGCATCCTGCAGGATCACGGAATGCCT